CGACGTCGCCCGGCGCGGACCCGATGCGCGCCCACGTCCCCGGGAATGGGGACTTTTCTCCAGAGACTGGAGGACCCCCTCCCCAAGCAGCGGCCCTTTCCAAGGGGTGCCTGCATTGCTGGGATTAAAGGCCTGCCAGGGCAAGCGGATTGGATCTTGCGGCTGCGGAGAGGAGGCGGTTCGGAGAGGCCCCTGCCGCGCAGGGCTGGTACTGGCCTCACCCTGGGGACGCACAGCGCGACACCGTGCTCGGCTCTGCGGGACACCCTGTCGCACTCAGGCTGGCGGGGCCTTTGCCAGGGAAGCCATGCCAGCACCCTTGTGGTCTGAGAAGGCAGCAGAGGGTTTGAAGGGAAGCTCTGGGGTCCACGTGGGGGTTGGGGCTGCACCTGCGGCGGCCATTTTGCAGGTGTGGTTGGCCACCAGCCTTAGCCAGGCTGTGGAGTGGGGCAGTCAGGAGTGGGGCAGGTGTGGAGCTTGCAGTGCAGGGTGTGAGATGGGCCAGGGCCAGGGCTCAGGTCTGCCCTTGCATTGAACACACACCGTCTATTTAGAGGGGTTCCTTGTTTGGTTGATGGGGTAGTTGGAGTCAAGACCCAGGAACCCTCTGGACCAGAGATGCTATAAGGCAGCTGGCTGAGGGGCCCAGCGTGGGGTCGGGGGAGGGCAGCCTTTACCTGGGGTGAAGTCTCGGGAGGGCACTGGGTCCAAGGCAGGGCCCAGATGAACAGCTTCACTCTGGCTGCAGATGGATCTGAGGCCCTGCAGGTGTCCTCCCCGGGCAGGTCCACAGGGCGGACAGAGGCTGGAATCAGGTGTCAAGGCAAGTCCCAGCCCAGACCCAGGGAGGTCCCTGTGGTGAGGGCCTGCAAGATGTCAGCTGTGTGCCAGCTCTGCTCCCAGCCAGGTGCTGCCCCCCTGGGTGCCTCCTTTCCCCCTTCCCCACTGGAATGTCCCACAGACTGCCGCGTCTGGGGCTCTGGCTGGCCAGTCACAAACAGGTGGAGTCTGGAGTTCTGCCCAAAACCCAGGGCTGATGCTTGGCTGGACTAGGATTTAAACTGCGGCCACTGCCGGGCCGCCCAGCCTGTGCCCCACAGTCCTCACTGATGTCATGACTGCTGACCTTGGGCCCACCATGTCCTTTGGGAGTAAGGTAGGGCAGTCCTCCCGTGGGATTTGTGGAGGGTGGAAGGGGAGACGTGGGCTACATAGCCTCAGGAGGAGGCGCTGGAGGAGACTGAGGGCATCTCTTCAGCCCACTCAGCCAGGTCAGCCAAAGCCGGTGAGCTGGCTTGACGGGGGCGGGAGGGGAGACGTTCCCACAGAGCTCTGGTCCTACTGGATTGGGGTCTATGGAGGGGCTACCAGCATTAGGCTATTAGGATTGACTGAGCCCTGCACATGCCCAGTTGGCCAATCCTGTCAGGCCTGAGACCATCCGTGCACCTCTTATCAGTGAGCTGGGAGGGGCCTGAGCTGCCACCACGGGTGGAGAGTGGTGGGGCCTGGGTCCCCGGGTGGCTGTGATTGGTAGGATGAGCGTGTGGTCATCTGCCTGCAGAGTCCAGGGACCTCTCTAGGACATTGCCACTTTCAGCGTTCTTAGGCCCAAAAGATGTGGCTCACCACCCCCAATATGGGTGGCCAAAGGGGCTCAAGGTGTCACCTCCCGCTGCCCATCACCCACTCCATGCCCAGGAGCATCTCTGAGAACCCTGAGGGGCTGGGCTACACCCTGCCCCAAACCTGTCCATGGGTGGCCAGGGTACCCAGGGACACAGCCAGGCAGTGTGGGGCCTGTGTCCTTGCTGGGTTCTGCCCCTTAGGTGGTGGCCTCCGGCCACAGGCCCATCCCTGCCACAGGAGGGTTTGGGATCCCAGAGCTTTGCATCCCAGTCCTTTGGCATGGCACCTGAGCAGAGACAGGGGCACAGTGGCCCCACCTGACAAAGCCAGCTTGCTCTTTAGCTCCTGAGCCTCACTGGGATCCCCACCCTCAGCCTGGCTGGCCTCTCGCCACCCCAGTGCCCCCACCCCCAGGGCCTGGAGAACCCAGGGAACAGCCGGCTTGGCTTGGCCCATGTGCTCCAGTTGTGCTGTGGGGCAGAGGGCACAGTCAAGGTCAGCAGTCAGTGGAGGCTGAGCCTCCTGACCTCTCCTGCTCCTCACCAGCCCATCCTGCCAGCTTCGGCCTCCTACAGGCCTAGCGAAATGTAGAGATTGATCCGGATGTGTGGATGTGGGACTTGGATGTGGGACTCAGAGGCTGGGGTTGCTGGAATCTGAGTAGGAGGGGCTGCTGCCTCTCTAAAGCCTCCTCACCCTGGATTTAATCTCCTAATCCCAGGCCTTGTGGTCTGGGCAGGCCCAACCCTGGCCGCCACAGAGCCTGGGGATTCAGATGGCCTTTGGGGGTCCCTCCTGCTTGCCATCCCTGCCAGATTTCAGG